TAAAATATGAATCTCAAATGTTTGTCAGACATTTTGCCCCATTCTTGGTGAAGATGTACAGTTTAATCAATAAAAATGAATAATTTAAATTCAATATCTTCTTGTCACTATCAATAATACTTTTGTGAGTGATGCATTACTATCATAATTCAATTTGTCAGACACCACCAATTTTACCTGACAGTTTGCTAAAATTTTAAACTTAATTTAGTATAGGCGTTTGACTCAGGCTGTTTAAATTACATTGAAGTTTTATCTTAAAAACATTGATTTTGCTTGAAGCATCTTTTCTGCCTTTGTGCTTATCACATTAATAACCAGTGAGAAGAAAACTTTGGTGGGCAAGCATGGGGAGAGCTGGAGGCTCATCTCCCACCACTCAAGCTACTTGTGTTAGAGCAAGTTTTATAGATTGCCAAGTGGTGACGAGTTAATTTACAGGGATAATTACTCATCACAGAGATGTCCAGATCTCATTCCTCCTCATTTCTCTTCTTGCTTTTGGTGCTCTTGTCCTGGCCCACCTTTCTCCAGCAGCTGGGTTCCAGCCTCAGCTGTTGGTGTTACCGGGTGCGAGGTTCCTGCTCCCGTTAGGTGTGGATGGTCCCTCATACTTTACAGAGCTCCTTGGATGAATACAGTAAAGTAAGACCACTGGAAGCTGAAAGAGCTCTCCATGTGCATTCAGGAAAATGAATTCTATTTAAATCTATGCATAACAATGTATTTCACAGAAATAACCACCTTTAGAAAGCTGAACTTAACATCCTAAAACATTTGGTTAAAATGATTGATGTTTTTGTCCACTGCACAGAAGGAAATAATCAGGCAATCCCAGTAATCCTGAGAAGGAGGTGGGAGGGCTGGAAAGCGTGGCATTCGGCAGTGAGCTCCTCCATGGAGAGCTAAAGGCACAGTGTGATGCCCAAAGGCAGCCTTTGAGGATTCGCAGTGTGTGGCAGCTCCTGTTGGCTTTTTCCTCTGCTTTGTTCTGGAGTCATAATGCAATCTGAGTAATTGCATCCTGTGAAAAGAAAGCACATGGCAGGGATTTGATGGCTGCAGTGATGGTCTGGTAGCAAAGCTTCCTGTCTGCGTGAGAATGGTTGTACTGCAAAGAGCTGAGGCCCTGCTGAGGGCAAACAGAGTCTGTGTGCCACTCAGAGTGATCCGGGCTAATGTTGCCTGTGTGTAGGTGGTTCTTCTTCCTCTGTGTGGGGATGCATTTCCTCAGCTGTATTCTTGCGGAAACCATGTTCTCCCCACGAAGTTAAATGCTCCATCTCCATGCTAGGATCAGTTTTACGTAGTAGCATTACCCAAGTACAAGTGACTGGACTGAGTCCCTTACATCTTGTTTCACCGTTAATATAATGTCTTTGGCATGATATTTATGAGTTAAAGGCTAGCAGAAACACTGGCAGAGGAGCTAAATGAGCACGTGCCTGAGCTATTCACAATTCACCCCTGCTTATCGTTTACTTACTCCTGGTGCCAGAGAACACTGGAGCATTGCTCATATGCAGCCCTGGTGGAGTAAGCAGTGCCTGGCCAGGAGTCGTAGCCTAGGGCAGGAAGCAGCTGTTGGATGCAGTGTGGGGAAATGTGGGGCAGTGTTAGCCATGGTGGGTGGTAGCAGTGTGCAATGGGACTCTGCTGTCACTGAGAAGTTCAGAAGGACTGTGGAGAGGAAAGGAGGCCCAGGAGTGGTATTTACATGGTGGCAACATACTAGATGCTGGCAGCTGCCTGCTTCATTTCTGCTCTGGCACCCAGGCCTCCTCTTGAGTACTCATCAGGGCTGTATTTTCTTCTCCTTGCCACAAGAAGTTTCACAGCATCCTGCTGTAACTACGCAAAGAGGATTATGACTTCAAGTGCAAAGTTAAAAAATAGCAGCAGCAGCAACGGATGAACTTTTTGAAGACTGAAGATGCTATTTTTCATGCAAATGTTAGTAATGAAGACTGAGAGGAAAGGAAAAACGGCACATACATCACGCAGAGGCAATGCTGTTTCAAAATAGGACATTTTTCATAGGTTGCCAGGAAGCGTCAGGTGCTTTTTGGAAGTGACTTGGTGATGTACTGGGCAGCACTGCACTGAGTGCAGGTATGGGATGGAGCAATATCATTGTTTCACACAGGTACCTAATTGCTGCATCCCGATTTCAGAGGAGGATGCATGACTACTGCCAAGTGACTGATGTGAGAAGCAATAGAGTAATCAAATCTACCATATGTGTAATGAAAGCTGGTACTTAATTTCTGTGTATCAGCAGTAGTAGGTGTTTTACTCTGAAATAGGATGAATGCCATTCACTATCAGTAATAAGAGTATATCAAGACAAGGGTGACTAAAGGCTTGACTTGCCCTATAAGTCAGGGATAATAATGAGTGTTTCGCTACTGTCTTGTCAGGTTTTGTCGGAGTGCATTCATTGTCTTGCCTGTTATTTCAGCATCGCTGCAACTTCCTGGCCTGGAAGGTTTTTGGGAATTGAGACATCCTGTCTGCTGATGGTCCTTTTTTTCAAGGAGCAGAGGCAGTTCAAGGGCTGGCGCCACCCACATCCTTGAACAGAGCAACACTGGTGCTGCCCTTTTGCTCTTTTCATTTCCTTGTTGGATTGAACCAGGATGGAGGTGGGACTGAGAAATGAAAAAGCATGTTGGCTATAAGTAGTAAAGCTGGTACTGTTTGGTGTTCAGATGAAAATCCCCATTTTTGGTGTTTTTCTATAGGGTGAACTTGAAGTGTATGATAATTTCACTAACAGATAAATGGAATTGGGGATTTACCTAGGGAAGAATCTTCTTTAGAGCCTCGGAAGCATCCCCTGCTTATTTATGTCTAAGTACTTTTGTTTTTGTCTGGCCCTGCTGAAAAAGCAGTTTCATGTTAGCAGCAGTCAGATGCTACAGAGGCTGCTTTGGATGCATTGGTAATTGGAAGTTTTTCTGATATCGTTAGTGAATTTCAAGTGTAAACACTGGAGCGGTTTTAATTACTTTGTAATTTAATGTGGGCAGGATTTACTGCTGTATTTTGTGACCTGTAATTTATTTGGTGTATTGCACCATGCCTAATAGAAGATCTCATGGTGGTGCAAGAAAGAGCACATGTTGCTACAGTAATTATATACCCAAACCTTTAAATCTCCCTGCCTTATTCATTAAAACTTCTAAGCTTTCTACTACAGGTGTTACTGATGTGTGCATGAAAGGCTCAAATTCACTGCAAAAGGAAAGCTGCCGAATCTCTGAGGTGTTCTGGTAAAGTGCCAGAGATGCAGCAGCTGAGAGATTTCTTGCTCAGGGCTCACACATGCATTTGGAACAGGCCCTTTGAGCACCTCCTCAATCAGCAGGACTCTCTGGAAGTGCTGCAATTCAAGAGAGAGTTAACACCGCTTCCATTTCCACCTAAGGAGAAGCTTTGTCTGTGTGCACGATGCAGCTAGGCCCAATGCGCGTGGAAGCCTCGGTGCCTGGCCCTGTGACGAGTATTTGGTCTCTCCATTGCTCTTCCATGCACAAGCTACAGGTGCTGTGTTCAGGCAGAAGTGATATGAACTCTGAGCAGCTTGTATGATTTCTGTAACAAGCTTGTTTACAAAGTAGGTGAGAAGCTCCAGTAAACTACTGGGCTCTGTGAGCATTTATAGCCATCGGCTGTGATTACCTGGCCATGGAAACAGCCACTGAGCAGGTATTAATCTTGTTTTTGAATAACACTGGGGAACCCTGGTATGAAGTGAGGCAGAAGGGGGAATAGTTGAGTTTTGGAATGGTCAGGCATCAAAGAAGCCGATTTTATTCATCTCGAGATCAAAAAGAGAAGGGCTTCCTATCCTGGAGTTATGAACTAGTCCTACTGACACTGCGAACTTGAGCCCTGTGGTTCAAATTAACGATTATAAGTTTTCTGTAAAAATGAAAACTACTTCAGAAAACGCTTGCTGAAATGCTCGCTGAATGTACAGAGTTGAACATCCAGGGTACGTGCAGGTGCTCTCTGTGCTTGGGCTGGGAGGCTTTGTGTCTTCCTGTTATGTTTTACAATCAGGACACAAACTGACTGCCTCTCTCTTCTTCTCCTTCACCTGAGAACTCTCTAAGTGCAAGGAATGCTTTCCCAACCAGCAATTACTTTCTGAAGGCAAAGTAGTTAATGTAGGGTATGCTACTCTGAAGTGTGCTGTATGGAGTGGCAGCCCTTGGAGAAAGTGTGATCCAGACTCAGAGGAGAACCAGTACCAGTGCTCCTATATCTGGGGCTTTCTTAGCATGCCCATTACCAGGGCAGCTGCATGTCCCCAGGCATGGCACAGCCTAAGCCTTTGCTGTTGAGACGGCCCAGATATAGGCAAATGAACTTTATTCCATAATTCCCTATCTAGTTGCAGATCTAACACCAAACCAAGTGGCTAGACTTCATTCTGTTCTAAGAACAAGATACAGTGGAGTCCTCCACCATTACAGAGGTCTTTTCTACCTGTCCCATCTCATTTCTGTGTGCAGTTCTCTGCAAAGAAGATAGGTAGAGTCTCAAAGAGCCACATAATCGTAAAGCTGGCCTTTGTTTTTTTTGAGCTCCTTCTACACTGACATAGCCTTGTATATGTTTCAAGTGAGGGACAGTGAAGTAGAGTATTTTGGGAAATCCAGATGGAATTTTGTTAGGCTGCAAAGGCTGAAGAGCATTAGGAATTAGATTTTTTCCCCCTCAGTGGAATTTTTGCAGGATGTTGCACCAAAAGGCATGCTATGTGCAAGATGCTGATGTGAGGAAGAGCTTTGTCTGACACCTTTTTCTTAACGCCCCTCTTGCCACTCTTTGTTTGGAAGGAACAAGGCCAACTGATAATGAACTATTTTCTATTCAAGGCTACAAGTCAAATGTTCGTTGCTCATTAATAATTCAATATGACAAATTTATTACCTTGAAGGTGCTGTGAGGCAATTAGACAATGGGAAATTGTGTCTTCCTTTCAGCCCATTTAATTGGCTTTCACGTTGGCATTCATCAAAACCTCGACTTTACATGTAAACTTTTCATTCTGCAAGACTGCGGAACTACGAGCGCTCGTCAAAATTCACCTGGAAGGTACTTTCACTTTTTCTTTTAATAACAAGGAGAACCGGAAGGAGAGTCTGTGAGAGAGTCTACATGAAGCTTAATTAAAGTCAGTGGAGAAATTATCATCTCTTGGTACTTTTCACATGACAAAATGGCCTGTGGTTATATGTAATTTTGGAATTATAGCTGTTTGCTCTCTCTCTCATGGAGTGTTACAAAATTGTCAGTGAAATTAACATCTTTATCCTTTCTCTTCAGTTTTTTATGTATTGTTTGGGATAGAATAGAATGAATTTGTTTTAAATATCATCTTTTGTACTCCAGGTATTTTAAAGCACTTCACAAAGTAATGATATGTTATTAAACAGTGATAGAGAAGAGATTACCTTTCTAATAAGGACCCCTGGGCAAACAAATCATTTCAACACTGGATTTCATATTCTTGGACTACTTTTCCAATGTGACTGACTTCACTACTGACCTTTAAAAGACGGCCGTATGAGCTCTTGAGTCTGAGGAGAGACTTTGACTACAGTAATTTACTTTGCAGCTGCTGCATGTATGTTTTCAATTGCTGACATTCACCCTGAGGTTTTTTTTGTTGTTGTTGTTATTTACGTGGCTTTCTTTTGTATCCTGTAACTTATTTGTATATGGCTTCAGTCTTTCATGGACACCCTTGAAAATGGAATTGTTAGTTTCAAAGGTCTGATTTGTCCTTGTAAACTTAAGCACAATTGAAAATTGCGTGAGTAGCTTTAAGAATGTGCAAGGTTCAACAATTTTTTGATTCCTTCACTTCATGATAACAATTTTTTCTTTTGAAAACCCTTGTCTCTCGCATCTTCTCCCACTTACAGAATACTTTTAAAAATAATTTGAAGAACTTTCATCTGCCATATCACATAGTCTTTCCGTTTGCATATGTTCAGCCTTTTGTTTCTCATGCTTGCTCCCCGGAAAATACAATGGTGCTGCTGCAACGTACTTTTTCATGTATGAGTTGAATTTTGTGCCCTTATTCTCTTTCCTGGATTTTTCATGCAGTGGTAAACTTGCTGATGAGGCCCTCTATCCCTTTACTCAAGTCACTGATGAATGAATTAAATAATACTGGACCCAGCATCGACCCCTGCTGAGCACCAGTAGCTGCAGGCCTCCAGCTGGACACTGTGCCACTGATCCCGGCTGTTTGTCCCACTGTAGAAAGCAATCAGGTTGTTTAAACATGATTTTTCTTTGGTTAATGTATGCTGACTGCTCCTGAACACCTTCTTGTCTTCCACACGTAGATCAACACATTATTCTTCTCACGTGGAGAGAGTGGACATGAATATCTGGCAGATGTATAATAACGTGAAATACTGGGCCCCTGAGTGCTGGCTGGCAATATGTTCCATCAGAACTAGAATGAAGCAGTAAGTTCCCAAGAGAAAAGCTGAATATTTATTACCAAATTGACATACCATTTTATTGATATGGAGCCATTTCTTTTTGGTTTGTCTGGAGAAATTTTTTTAAAAAAAAGAAAGGCAAAATGATTGCTGCATTCAGCAGCAGCTGCCTCTGCCCTGAATGACTGGTAGATTTTTGCAGTGTTGTGCAGTTTGGAAGCTTTGTGGGGTCAGATTTGGTGGCGTTAATACTGTGTGAGCAGCTTTCTGGTGTGTGGTTGAGTTTAAAGCACTGCATAAGAAGTCAGTATATGTTTTTTGAGAGGGGCTAAGCAGAAACTTGTAGGTAATGCAAGTACTTTGGCTAATAGATTGAGAAGAGTTATTTTAAGCTTGTATTGAATATTTTGCTGAAATGTGGGTTTTGATGATTGATATCCATGTCTCCTTATGAACCACGATAATCCATCTGACGTATCTTACAGTGAAAGTTGGTAAAATGTTCTGCCAAAATACCCGTTGCCTTAATGTCCATCTGGATCTAACTGTATATGTCTGTGTCCAGCAGTGATTTGTACTATAGGCTCTAGACAGTGGTGTCAAGGAAGACTTCTAGTATCCAAAAAGTTCCCTTCAATTAATATCTTGTCTTTCTGTTGCAGTTCTCATTGGAGACCTTGAAACGCTCCTTGATTAGGCAGGTGTTATTAATCTTGTGTTGTCTGACATTAAACCTCAGACAGGTAAGACAGTATCTACTATTGACTCTACATGCTGTGGACTTCAAATATTTATCAATATTTATACCTTCATGGGGTTTTGCACTGCTTTGGAAGCAGGCTTAAGCCCTCCCTGGGCTCAGTTGGATTGGAGCCAGGTCTTTGATTTGGTTGCATTTGTGTGGGAGCCAAAGTTGTTCAACACGAGGATATAAAAAACGTCTACAAGAAACAAGATATTGGTCCCCTCATCTTCTGTTTCAGAATATTCTTTCCTACATTTGCCAGGATCTGTGTGCTTTGGCATATCAAGTCTACTGTGGATTTGATAAGCATGGACTATGGATGAAGTGGAATTTAGGCAGCCAGAATATTTGTGCATCAAAAATAAATTTAACTTGTTTCTTAAATGGGAGCACAAAATTCAACCTGTTAGAGAATGAAAATTATGAGAAAAATATTGATGGCAATTTTTGTATTTACAACAGCTTGTTTTTGCTTTGTTAAAAAAGCTCCTTACTAAACACTCATTTTCTAAAGCTTTTGTTGCATTAAACCATCATTAACATGTCAAAATCAATCTTCTTCCTTTCTATTCCTTTCAAGTCAATCAAAAATTTTCTATTGTCAACTAGAGTAGGGGGAAAACAAAGGTCAGCATTGCATCAGTCTTTCCAAAAAGCTCTGTATTGTAAATTATTTAGGTGCTCGAATAAATCCATTTTTTCTTTTCAGTGGTGGGACAATAAAAGCAAGATTTACTGTGGCAAGTGAATAAAAAAAAATTAGCAAAAAACAAACAAAAAGCTGCTTGCTTGGCAACCTTTTGCGTTAATCAAAACCTGAAGACTCGACCGAAAGATCAATATTTGGCTTCAAGATGAAACATAGCAAAGCTTCCATTAAAAAAAAAATTCTGAATAAAAAGGAACATAGGCTGTGTTAATCGAAAAGAGGCAAATACAAAAATCCATATAGTCTTTTGGTTATCTGTGATAAAATGGCCCCATTGGAGCTTGACAAATTACAGTATTTTTATGCACATATCAAAGTTCAACTTGATTGTCTCATATGGGGGAAAAGACCATCTGTCTGTATTCTAGAAATAATCTGCATAATTGACTTTCAAACAAGCCTCAAAGAAGCAGGCATTTATCACCTTAATTGTGACAGGCAGAATGTGTGTCCCTGCTATTTTATCAAGATAATAATAACAGCATTGTGGATACCTGGTATCCTGTCTTGCTCTAAATTTTTTTCTGTTTGTGTGGGTGGGAACTGGGTCCTTTGAGTCATGATTACTTTGATAAATGACAAGGGAGGCAGTATCACCTAGGACAAAAATAGCAGAGTGAGATGCCACCAAAGGCTGGACTTGCTGTGCAGAGCTTAAGATAATAGCTTGCTGGAATTTGGAGGATGTAGCAGGAAATTTGTAAGTGAGCAGCTTGAACATGGACTGCAGCTGCAGTATGCACATATAAATTCCCCTTATTAAGGGATTTCCTCGGGTTTTGAACACAGAGGCTTCTGCAGTTGCTGCTTAGAAAGTGACACAGGGTGGTCCCTGGGGACAAGCAGCCAGTGGGAGCAGGAGGAGCTCAGGGAGCAGTGCTGTCCTGTGTGGGCAGGGTGGCTCTAACTTTGCCTTTGCAATAACTTACTGAATTTATTTAGTTGTTTTTTTTTTTTTTTCTTTTGCAAGTGATAGATAAATCTGCATTGGTTTTCTAGTTTAAGGTTAAGTTATACTCCATTGATTTAAGCTATACTGAAAAATAACCTGAAATAAGTATAAGCTTGCAAGCACTCATGAATTCATCGAGGATGTTTGTTGCTGCTTTGACATTTTGGTAACATAAAGTCCATACTTTATTTTTGATTTTTTGTATTCTTTTGCTGCTCATATTTTCATTTTTAGAGTAACTCACTGTCTACAGTCACATTTTTCACACAGAGCACAGTCTGTAGAAGTTTTGTAGTCATTCTACATTTCACTCTCTTACCACCGAAACAGGTGTGCAAAGTCAAATTCAGTGCTGTGGTGCCGCTGACTGTCACTGCTGGCCTCCAAGCCAAAGTGTTCTGGTAAGTCTTATTTGGATCTTTCTGTGGATGGAGAATTTGGCTTTTATAAGCCAGCAGCAGAAGTAACTCTAGAATTCAAGACCAGTGATTGAGAATAACGAAATATGCTTAAAACTGGCCACAGGGTAGAAGTCTTGGCATCAGTGCCTGAAACCATGACGGCACAGTGGGCTGTTTATAAAACCTCTCTCCTGCTTGAGTACCTAAGCTTCTCACTCTATAAAACTTTTTAATAACAACCTCTTTATGACTTACACCTGGTTATAGCATAAGGGATTGATTAGGTCTCGAATCTGACAAGGAGAGTAGTCAGCATCTAAAATATGTATATCTTTGCACAAGATGAGCCAACGTGCTCTCCTGTGAAGTCAAGCTAGTGAGCATGGCAGGGACTCAGGGCAGTAAATAAAGGGATGCTGGCTGTGCACGCTCATGTCCTTCGGGCCATGAGTCTGCTCCTCTGAGCTGGAGTAGAATTACTAGAACTAACAGTAGCACTTCCCACCACGCTCACTTTTTATTTATGCTTCGCTCTCCTGTTGAAGGATCGCAGGGAAGATCACCCACTCTCCCCCCTGTTCTGCATTTGGCAAGTTTATGTTAATGTGGCCTGGTATTTACAAGTGGGGCATAAACGACTGACAATTTTATGGTGCTAATAAACAAGCTTTTTTATATGTGGAATGTTCTGTTGTTATATTCGGAAATCCAATTCAGAGACGTACACTTGCATGTGGGAAATATCAGAGGTGCTGTGTAAATCTGAGCTGAAATAACATTACACGTGCATATGGTATCTGGTAAGGAAATTGCTGAGAGAAATAAAATCAGCACACATAGGCATTGCTGAAAGCAGTGTTTCTAGTAGTGTGAACTAGGTAATGCAGGCTGTGGGGGAGGATATTAATGAGGTGGACAAAAGAATGATAGCATTGTTTGGAAGACCTGAAAGATGTTCATCACCGCACCAGTGACCTTTGTCTGAAGGGATTATTCCCCTATACTAAATGCTGAGTTTAATTGTGTACATCACATTTCTTTAGAAAGATTTAATGTTTTAATTAATTTTTATGTATTGTACTTCTGTAAATGTGAATTATTTCTTTGTGCACTGAATTTCAACCAAGGTGGTAGGGCAGGTTGGTAGGTGAGGTGGACTCTTAGATAGGTGTGAACTGCTAGTGTAAGACATGGGAGCTGTATTGATTGACAGCCCCAGCCCAGGGGATCCCTGCTACTTTTCGGGCTGTTCAGCTCCAGGGAAATCAGCTCCAGGAGCTGTGAATCCATGTGAAAATGGACTTGGTGGCCACCGTTGTTGGAAGGAGTCTTTTAATGTTAATAAAGTAACTTTCAGTGTATAAAAAGCATGGAGGAAGGTAGATGTCAGTCTGAGCACATCAGAATTACTGGGCTAGGAAGAGAGAAGATCCCAACAGAGGTGCTGATGGTTCAGGTTTTAGCAGTTATATGTATTGCTCATTAGATGAACACTTCCAAGTTTTCTTAACTGTGTCAGTCAGCTTATTGTAAATTCTTCATAGGCCTGCTTGTATTTTTGCCCTTAGCCTTCAAAAAGGCTGCATAAAATAACCTGAGGCAAATTCCTTTCTTGGTATTATTTCATTCAGCTCTAGCAGAGCTGGTGGAAGGGGGGAGGAGGTCTTGTGATGCATGCTAAGAATACTGCATAACAAATCTTTGGAAACAAACAAAAAAAAGTTTTAATTTGACATGGGAACATAGTGTTAGGTTCTTGTGTTCACCTGTTTTGTAGATGTTTCTATGAGATATGATGTTCAGTTTAATGCTGTCACTGTATCTGTATCCGTTCTCTTCGTCAACAATCTAATAACTGCCAATATGCTATTAAGCTTATTTGCTAGTTTGTTTGGTCTTGTAAATTTGATAATTAAAACAAATTACTTCATTTAGAAGGTACTGTCAGAGCTTGCAGTTGGATAAATATTGGGGAAAAAAAAAAAAAAAAGGATTTATAACAGAAGAGGAATTCTGTTTAGGAGTCTTAGTGTACTGCTTTTGTTTCCTGATATTTATGCATACAGATCTAGAAAGATGTGTTGTGTCTGTACTTCCACCATGCTTTTTCCTAGCATTTGATGCCCTTTGCTTCTTCTCAGAAAACTGTAGAACTTGTTTTCTTTGCATCCTGATATGCCCTGGGGCATCAGGAACTCATTTGTGTATATTTGGAAGATCTTTGGATATTTCCCATGACAGGCAGAGATTTGAATCATAGAATCATACAATGGCCTTGGTTGAAAAGGACCACAATGACCATCTAGTTTCAACCCTCCTGCTATGTGCAGGGTCACCAACCACCAGACCAGGCTGCCCAGAGCCACATCCAGCCTGGCATTGAATGCCTCCAGGGATGGGGCATCCACAGCCTCCTTGGGCAACCTGTTCCAGTGCATCACCACTCCCTGAGTGAAAAACTTCTTCCTAGTATCCAACCTAAACCTTCCTGTGTTTAAAACCATTCCCCTTGTCCCCAAAGTCCTTCATCAGGACTTTGTCATCTACTCACCACACAGACAAGCAAATGGAAAGACCAGCTTGGATGTGGTAGGATCACCAGGTGAAGCCTTACCAGGTATTTGAGCAATTCAGTTTTAACAAACTGGATTGTTCCAACACACGCTGCTTGCTGAGGTTTGTGCTGCTGCCACCTGCTCCCTTGGCTCTGGGGCTGCCTGCTCTGCTCTTGTCCCTGAGTGCAGCAGGCATGGAGGGGCCCTGCGGGGTTGGTCTGCTGGGCTGACAGCAAGCAGCAGTCTTGAGGGTTTGTTCCACAGCCCCTTGAAGGCTCAAGCCAGGCAGCTCATGCATCAGCTCAGAACAGGTCTCATTGGTAGGCAGGATTTGATGCTTTTTGCAGCAATAACTGATTTGTGGTTAATAAAATACTGCCCCATAGTTTAACCATAGGAGACTTGCCTTGACTTGGAAACTGGCTCAGACCACATGAGTTCCTCAGGAATATATCCACAGTGTGCTGTTGGCACCTGATAGATGAGATCTGAAGCTTGTTCTGTTTTATGGCACTTCTCCTTGTTTTCCATTTGTGTGGTAGAATTGGAGATAGTCCTGTCTGCAGCTTCAGCTGTAGTAGTGGAGGAATTCATCAGAACCCATTGCTGTAATAAAAGGAAGAAATAGTGAATTAAACTTTCCCCTCATAGACAAAAACTTTGAAACGTGTTTTTTGTTGTAATGTTTTTCCACACTGCAAAAAGTTGAAAGTTGTTATCCACAGATTCTTCTACTTCAGATCACATATGTTTCAGAGCAGGGATCAGTCACACTTTTACTTATTTTTAAAGCCCTATTCACACCTTACATCTAGTTTAAATAATGCTAATAGTAAACAGAAACATGCCATTTGTCCCAGCTGACTTTTCATTAGTACTATTGCTACCTAAAGGACTGTATATCTGTTGACACATTGAGCATATGGGAAATGATGTTATTTTTTTCATTGTTTTGTAGTTTAATGTTGTTTTTGTTTTGCAGTAAATTTGTAGTGCCCTGGTAGGCTTTGTTTATAGCTTGCTTTAACATAATTTCCAAGTATGAAATTATTTGTTACAGAAAAATATTTGCTTAATTTGTAAATGTGGGTGCCCGAGGATTCCCACTTGTGCATATTGGTGAAAAAGTGAAAGGCACAAATGTGCCAGTTTGGTGGCACTTGAGCGTTCAAATGGAGATAGAATATCAGAATTTATGTACTCACTCATTTGGATGACAACACGCATAGGGCTGAATCTGTCCCAGCTCTTGTCTTACAACACCATGATAATGAATGGCATGGCAAGCAATGTAGGTCAAGATGATATTTTACTTCCCTCGTATGATGTAACTCATATGTAAGGGCCAAGATCTAGAGCTTTACTCTGTGCTTTCAGATTTGCATTTGTTTTTCAAGCTCATTTTGATCTGTTCAGAGGATGCTACTGCATTAGCAATGCAGTACTTTGCTTCTGTCTCTCTTCATTTTGCTTTACCTTCCCAACCCAGCTGGAGTTGTCTCTCGTAAATCCTCAGCTGGCCTCAAAATTATAATGTATGTAGGTAAGATGCATGCTTATTCTTCTCTGTAGGGAATCATATTTAATGAAGTTTATGGTTAGGATTCAGCAAGCCATACGAGCAGCATGTCACAAGCAACTACAGCGTGGAGTGCTGCAGGCCTTATTTGAAAGACTATTCCTTCAGTGCTCATTTTGCCAAGTTTTCCTATACCTGCCAAATGCAGAATGCTTTTTGAAACTTCAGTGCATCTCACTGGTATTAATGAGAGATTATGGTACACTGTGTAGTGAAAAACAGACCCGTAATGGCCAGAGATGCTATGAATCAACTATGATGAAATGAGAGCAAAAACATACAGTGTTAACTAAGAACCAACATTTCTGTAACCACATTGTCTTTAGAGATCTTCCCAAAGCATCTGAAATAAATACCATTTCTTACAATCTGAGTAAGACCTTAGTTCTTCTAAGGCAGCTGTTTTTCATCAGTGCTTCATATGAAGTTGATCCTCGTTTGTGAATGCTGGAATCCTTAATGACAGATAGTCTATTATTTTATTTTCATCTGCTGTACATTTCTTACCAGGACTCTGTGCAGTTTGTCCATGACATAATGGTAATTTACTGTTGAGTCCAGAGTGTGTATTGAAACCTAAAGGATGTGCACTGCAAGTGGTGTACTTTGTTCTATTGGTGGACATCTTTCTACCTTTGGGCCAATGTTTCTCTTCCAAGCTCTTCACTTATCATGCCTACAAATCTTTTTACCACAATTTTTGGGTTAGATATTAGGAGGAAGTTTTTCATAAGAGGGTGATGATGCATTAGAATAGGTTGCCCAAGAAAGTTGTGGATGCCCCATCCCTGGAGGCATTCAAGGCCAGGCTGGATGTGGCTCTGGGCAGCCTGATCTAGTGGTAGATGATCTTTGATGTTGTTTTC